GCAACGGAGATGTGTTACTGAATCCCTATGTTCTACTAGGAACCCAAAGGAAAAATAAATAAAAAGCTACTTGTAGTGGTAGTGAAGTAAAGCCGGAATATGCCATGCTTCCTCCATTCATCTTCAAACTTGTCAGCTAAACGTCCCTGCATCGCTGTTAGTTATGGGAGTTGAAATTATCACACATTTTTTATAATAAGTTATTCCTGATATCAATATCAATCGAGCAACTGGGTCACAAGAGCCACTGCACCATCCTGGTGAAAGTGTCCACTAAAATCTAGGTTTATCCAATCGGCAAACTCTTCGTACGACAAAGCATACCTCCTGCATACCATTATTAGGAAATGTCAAACAAGTAAAACCATTGGCAGCATCAAAGCAGCATATACTAAAGGGCTAATCAGTTTAATCTAATGACTGTAAACGACAAATATTAAATCCGATGACTGAATCTACAGAGTTCAAGTGAACCAGGAAGACTCACAACTATCGAATCAAGGTATGACCAAAAGCTAAGAAACAGGCAACGTCATAAGCGGACACGTCATGTAGGTGAAAATCTAAGCGTTCTTCTTAATAAAACTTGTGTCACCTTACAAGAATTTAGTTCAGTTTATTTTGACTGTGATAATTATGACCGATAAACTATGTTAGCTGGTTGAAGACAGATGTCAAAAAACCCTGTTTTACCCGAGTTTCGTGTTCTTTATCACTTGTTAGAAGGTGTGCATCTGCAACATTGAAGCAGTTGATACCTGCCAGAGATTAGAACCCACATAGCTTAGTGGTAAAATCAGAGCCCTTATTACAGAGCTACTCAGGCTACGTCCCAATTCCTGTGCCACCAGATCAGATAGACGGATTAACCATTAGGAGCGAATAAGGTTACGTCATTTAGCCAAGCAATATCTGAGATAGCCGTGGTTTGACAGACTTTTATTGGTACTGGGTGGTGACTGAATGTGAACAGAAAATCTAGAGCCTGGCAGATAGTCAGACAGTCAACATAATGCTCCTTCTTCCTAATTCAGCTTGATTTTGATTGGGAGGAGAAATCCTGATTGGCCAGCCATTGTGAGTACGACCAAGCGATAGTAAGGTATCACGAATTCAAATGGTAATCGGGCGAAACGCATGGTGATTGAAGTGAAATAAAAATCTGGTCATCAATCAGATCTGGTGACTCATTTGATAGAGCACCAAACAGGAAACGCGACGGTCGCTGGTCCGAATCCTACTGTAACCCAGATTTTCATTTAGTCTTTAATCATCACCCAGCATATATATCCACTAGGCAGTTGACAACGTCATCCTAGTCGCATTATTCGTTCGTGCACATACTACAGTGGTTATCCTTGTACTCTTAGAAATTTGTTTGTCTGTGTATTTGGGACTGAAATGTTAGGATTCATTATACAGTAGTGCTGGTGACAGCGGCAGTGGTTTCGGCTGTGGCTGTGAGGTAGATATATGTCTGCTTGAGTTTTGAATATGACAGTCACACAACGATTATACGTACATTTTTTTCCCTTGGGCAGAAATTAATTCATAATTCCATTTCAAATTAGTTTAAACGCCGTTCGTGCAAGTGTACGAGAAGGCATTACAAATCTCCGTTTGCAGTATTTCTGTTAGGATGATATTCCCCATCATAACGAAAGCACAGTGAGCTGATTACGTTGCTGTTATCTAGTGCACGTGCAGTATTAAAACAAAACGGTGTGTTTGAATGTCATCCTGACCAGTTATAGTCCCATCTATCAAGGATACATTCAGTTACTTTTATTAATCACTGGACAGCAACCAGTTTCATGTTGTCTAGTCTTGAGTGCTGACGGAATGGCTCATTGGTAACGTTGCTGACTGCAACAGTGAGTGACGCCGGTTTAAATTCCCTAGAGATTATCAGATTTCCTAACATTACAGATGTGCCTTGCTGACGAGTGCCAACAAGCACGAAACCTGTATCCAGGACTTTTGAAGATTGCTTCCAACCAACTAACAGGCATCTAGTTAGTTAGAACCAATCGGGAAGAGCAATATATTCTGCAGTTTACTTCAGGAAGGTGCTGAAGACTTATCTGGTTAACGGTTGGAGATTTTTCACTTTCTTAATGTTTTTGAACACAACGGGGGTTGATCGTGTACTACTGTGTACTCGGTAGAATAAACTTCAGAAGACTATGAGCACGCGACTTCTCTATATAGCTTATTTAGCCAAATAATTTAGGCATTTTATTATTTCTCTTTTCATCTCAGTCCTAGGAAAGCGCACTACAAATTTAACCTTTTTACAGTGAATAAATTCCATTCCATATGTCTTCTATCTCTTCACAACACTTGGTATGTTCTTAGCCTAGTTAATGTTTAAATATTGTTGTATTTTATCCAGTAGAGAGTTGTGTACGTTGATTGGTCACTCAAGGGTCATGAACTTCATATTATCTAGTCGTGAGTGCAGGCTATAAGACTCACCATCGCTATGTACTTTATTAGATGTTAGTTAAATGGAGGCAACTGGAAGGTAACCCTACATCTAGGTTCCGCGCTTTTCGACACCCGTTGGCGCGATTATCTCAGTGGTAACGTCTCCAATTTCAACATTATGAGAAGTCGGTTTGAACCTTATTTCCGATGAGGTTACAGGTACGTCTTGTTGACAAGTACCAAAAAGCACGAAACGCAGGTTAGACAGGGCTTCCTACTGATTACCTGCATCCAACTAGCAGACAGAAGTATTTGGAGGTGTTCAACCCACTTTTTATTCTCACTGTTCTAACCAGCTGGTCACCAGTGAGAACAGGAAGCATTTCAGGTTACACCGCTTCCGAGAAATAAAGAAGTAGATAATTGATCAACCGGCTCTCACACTTACCACATTTTGACACTTTAATACATATCAACCTTTTTAATTTAGATGTGAAGTATGTTAACCTTCATTGATGGAAGGACCATCCAGATCATGAGAGTTGTATTCGTAAAGCTAAAGACTATGCATGCAATTTCCATACATTATCAGGATTTTTTCTGAGTGAATCACCTTGGTTGCTGAACTCCCAAGTCGGTTTATTGAAAGCATGGATTTTACGCAGTTGGCAGAACACTTTATTCACTGTAAGTGTTTTATAAACCAAAAGCTTGTCAACTGGATATGACTCTTTAGATGTTTGACCTATACTCCGTGTTTGTTGACCTATACAAGCAAGTTAGATGAGTCGTCTTATTTGTTGTCCACTTCGATTACATATTCCACATATTATGGTTTGGTCTACTCATCGGGGAGTCATGCGTATACACAAAAAGAGACAGAAATTCTGGCCATCAAGTTACAACCCGTTGGTAGAAATTTATATTAGCCAAAGAATTTCGAAATATAACCACCGACCTTGTCATGCAGTTCTATCTTCATCTAAATGCATTATGTTTAAGTGAGTAGGACCTATATTGATCTTTGTGACTATCAGAGGAATCCAGGAAGCGCGTTTCATCCTATTTGGGACTCTTCGGCTGGATGTACCTGCACCCCAGTGAGTGATGTTTTCCCGACCGAGGCTCGAACCCAGTGCCCTTCACTTCAAACCCCAGAGCTTTATCCACTAAGCCACTCGGGCACGATAGCCACCTTTTGTGCAACAGGTACCAGTTGTTGTAGTGATGCTTGTAATTTCCAGTTGCTCTGGCTTTTGAAGCGAAGGGTACTGGGTTCAAGCCTCTGTCGGGAAAACATCACTCACTGGGGTGCAGGTACATCCAGCCGAAGAGTCCCAAATAGGATGAAACGCGCATCCTGGATTCCTCTGATAGTCACAAAGACCAATATGACACGATGAATACTTGACACTATCGAGGCATCAGCATAGGAGCCCATCTGCCAACAGAGACCGAGCAATTCGGCCCTGTATAGCAATGAGTAGGACCTACTTAAGACTTGTGAATCTGCTAGGATGTCCAGTTGTGACCAGTTCGGTGACTGAGACAACTGACACAGTATTTAGTGGTTAGTAAATGTCAGATGACAAAGACCCGTTGACAAGAAACCATGTTTTATCTTGACCATGTTCCAGTTGCCATTCATTATCTTGGCGTACTTGTATTTTGCTGAAAATTCATGTGTCTCTTACGATGAGAATCTGCGTCGCTTATTGTTAGCATTATGAACCTCAAAAGTAAGCTATTTAGTACACCAGTGACACCGTGCATTGTTGAATGATGCACACAACCTGGCCGTCTATTAGTCATATGTGTCACGAACGAAATACACCATACTACCATCCCATTCAGGTAACCGATCACGTTTCAAACTTGGTCGACTGACTCTGGTCATCACCAATGTCTTGGCAGATAGGTATATCGGTTACTAACCTAGTCCCTGAGGTTTGGCTACCTTTATTTGGTTGCTTCAAACATGAAATCGGAATCCAAGACGCCAAGTTGACTATCTCTAGTTACCTGCACAACTTTCTTTACTGAACAGTATTTTAGCATGAGCGCAATCACAGAAGTCAATCTGTTAGCTACTTTTTTTAGAAATTTAAAAAACTGTTTAATATGCCGTGAATTTAATTTTAACAACCTATTACAAACATCTTCCAGCCCACCGTTCTCAACTTTTTTGCATACTTGTTGGCATAACTGATAAAAAAAACTAAATGTAATTTATTAGATATATCCTACTGGAAATTTTCAATAATTCATCTCATTAAGGTGAAATACACATCATAGTTTTGATTATTGTTATTAATGTAATTACTTGTATAAATTGTCTCTATAAGTATAATAATAGGTATTACCATTTTTATTACTTTTGTTTAGTGCTTTAACAGTCTTATTTAGCATATATTCATACCCTATGCCATTTAATATTCAAAGCCGACGAGGGCGTTGGTTTATTCATTATATTTGACAGCTGTTCCATGATTGGACAATAATTTTTAACCAATCATTTGCTTGCCCTATTTATTTTGACTTAAAATGGCGATGTAAGTCATTATAATCTCATTTGTGGATTTCTTCTTATGCCTAGTTGGATCACATCTAGTTCTTTTAACGACAGTATTGTGTGAAGATAATTAAATAATAATTTGTGAGTTGTTATTTATTATACATACGCTAAGTGGAGGATACTTTGATTTATTGTGAGTAGAATAATTGTGAAATATCAATCTGCCAGCGTAATCACACGTTATCAATATGTGTATGCATGAATACAGACGCACTTGAAATTTGTAACCTAATCTGTGAATGGTTATCTGTTGTGCAAGTGAACCTTTTTCTCTACAGTGGATTTATTTCATTTATTATTATTAGTATTACTACTACTACTACTGCCAGTACAAGTCATTATTGTAGTACACTAATTCACTGGATTTCTCATTTACATCCTATGCACTGCAACAATTAATCCCGTGGATATATTACTATCATCATTATCATCGTATAAATGTTTACATCATAAAGTTTTGCTTGTACACATTCTCAATAAGGGAACATCATTTCTGACAGTTCTATTAACCGACGATTTCTTCATTATTTTGTTTAGTGGAAATACAATAGCAAAAATAAAGTATGAAGGTGAAAAATAAACGCCCCTATAACAGATCAGAAACGTGTACACGTAGTAGTAGCAGTAGTACAAGTGGTGGTACTAATAACAATTCAACACCATTCCTACCTGAGAAAATTACTGAACAACTTGATAATTTAGATAGTAGTTACACGATAACTAATAATCCATCAAGCAGTAACAATCGTAAACGTTCATGTGATCCAACACCGAAAAGCACTAAAACTCGTCACAAATCGAATAAACACACAAATCCCTCCTCCACCAATAGTACTACTAATAACAGTATTGGAAGTAGTATGTCGCATGCAAGTGGCAGTACATCGTTGAAAATTACTCATCGTGTTGGTCGTGCACATCTATCATCTGTGAATACAAATGTTAACAATGTCAATAATAATAATAACCATACTAATTCCAAGTCAAGTTGTTGTTCATCGAATAATTGCTCTTCTTCGTCGACATCATCCATTCTCTCTGGTGGAACTAGTGAACCAGTGGATCCATATGAATTTGCTGTAAAAAGTGATGAGACAAACAGTCAGTGTGGGTTGAATGAAAGCTTGTTACCGATAAAACGATTGAAATTAGAAAGAGTAAGTCTGCTACCCCTTTTTTCCCTTCTCAACAAGTCATCTTGTATTGTTTTAACTATTAAGCTGTGTAGCAGTACTTTATGAGTAGGATAGAGTTAATTGTGATAGTCACAATTGTCATATAAAGGAATTGTAGATTTCATGCATATGCTTTTAAAGGTAATTAGAACTGTTGATACGGAAACATCCTTCTGTTGTAGACCATGCTGATGTGACTGCTTGGTACAAGGAATTGACTTTCGGCCAACGAGTCCCGGGCCCGAGTACTGCCACACTTTGGCTTGAGCAGTCGGTTACGCGCTATCCTCTATCTTTGTTTCTTTCAAATGTATGTCCATTCTAGGTAGTGTTTTCTCATACTTGACGTAGTTTTAAAAATAACTAACCATCCACTGTTCTAACTTGTTCCGATAATTGATCATTTACAAGTTAATGTGTCTCTTAGGTGTCTGTTAGACTCATCTTTTGAAGTTGAGGCAGAGGCCGTGCAGTTATGTGTGAATTGAACTAGAACGGATATGTAACTCTGTAGCTAAAGCATACTCATTTACATAAACGTTAAGCTTTATTTGTACGTTTTTCTTCTCTCTCTCTCTCTCTCTGTGTGTGTACAAATGAGTTTTTGTATACGGTAGTAGACTTAACAAGTATTTATTATTATTATTATTATTATTATTATTATTATTATTATTATTATTATTATTATTATTATTATTATAGGTGAGAATGACTAAGCCCTTATCGTCATTAGAATCTAACTACTAGAGCTTTGAAGCATATCAGGCATGTTTGTAAACCTTTTTTTTGCCAGTTTCGATTACTGTTAACACGACATATGGTTGTATTGTTTGTCTGTTTTGTTACTGGGTAATAATTGAAGGTTAAATGAAAATCTGGGCCACAGCAGGATTCGAACCAGCGACCATCGGTGCTCGATCAACTGAACTATCAGATTTTTATTTCACTTTAATCACTAAGGCTTTGTTTGTTTATTTACTTATTTTCTATGATGGTTAGATTTTGATCTGAATCCTACTTCTTAAAATTTACTTTAGTTTATTTCAATCATCACAGCGTTATCACTATAATCGGAGGTGAATTTAATTTCATAAAATAATCAAATTTGTGATATAAAGAAACTTGTCACGGAATCGTATTCACCATAAATCAATAATCATGAGTAGTTGCTAGGTTTTTTTTTAAAGCTCTTTTTCAGTACTTTCTAAAGGTAAACTTCCAGTGAACAACTTCAAAATATTAAATCCAACTTCCGTGTAAAACATATCAACCTTGAACTTGTTCAATATTAAAATTGAATAGTATATTTAAAACATGAATTATGTGCTTTCTTGCCTCTGGGTTGCTCGCTTTTTACAAAAAGATGATGATGAGTACCAACTTGAAAGATCAGTAAATCCCCACAAACCCAAAATTAAATTGCTCCAGTGCCTGTTGGGGACTAGCTTCGAGAGATAATTTCTGAAGTTCCAATGACAAGTCGTAACCAGTGGGATAAACCTGGTGGCCATGAGGATTAGTATTCAAAGATGATATTGGGATGATGACCACCCTATGTGGTGAACTGACAGAAGTTGGAAATATGGATTATTGCATTCCATCAGACTCAGTGGCTCCGTGGTAATGTGCTGGCCACGTAACCTGAAGGCCCTGGGCTCGGTCCCTGGTGGTGTGGGGTGGTGGGTGTGCACTGCTGAGGAGTTCCCATACTAAGAAGAAACAGCTGTCCAGTACTCTCAGGTTCCCAATGGTTTTCCAACTGATGTCAATCTATAATGAATACCAACTTAGAAACAATTTTCTATTGGGAACATGTCAGCAGTTTATGAAATATGGGCTTGAAGCTAACTGTTCAGTCTTATCGTGTAGTTCTTATGATAACAAATGATCTGTTGACATGCAGCGAAATTAAATTGGAAGTGAACATAAACGATGATAGTGTGTGTAGACAAAAAGAGAGGGAAAAGATATTCTGTGTGTGTGTGTGTGTTTGTTTGCATGCATACGAAAGAGAATAAAAGGTCAATTAAGGTTACATACTCTATATTGTTAGACTGTTTCATTGGGATAATAACCCTACCACAGTGATCAAGTTTTACTCTCACACACACCGTTTTAAAATCCACATTATTGTTTCTGTTTTCGTACATCTTTTTCTAATGTTTAAACAAAGATGTACGATAATTGAAATTAACCCATAAAAATAAGTAATAAATGAAGTTGTGGTATATTACTGTGATGTATTGTAATGCCACCGCTTTTTAGGATGATCGTCTATCGCGCATTTTCATGTGTTCTTCCTCCGATGCTACTTTTACAAGCTTTCATAAAAACTTTATAAGAACATGATAAGCGTCAGGCCGGAAAACTGGTGGTCACTGGTTCGAACCCGGTCGTAGTCCAAATCTTAATTTAACCTTCAATCATCACCCAGTATAAACATGATAAGCGTTGATTTTGCTGGATTTTGTTCTCCTGTACACCTGAGGAGTGCTCTCATATTGTTGCAAGTGTTTAAAACGTCTCATGGTGGAGTCGTATTGATTACCTACACGTTTAACAAGGGTGAAAGGGAAAAACGGTGGTTGTCTAGCCAGTGCTTGCTTAAGGTTTAGCTAGTGAGTTTAGAAATGGAAAAAAACTGATTACTTTCTCAGACAAGTATTTTTTTTACTTGAACTTCTAGTTAGGAGATGCTAACTGGTGGGTGAGACGGTAGTAACTTGTTCGTTTGAATTATGTCTTGGCCGCGCACCACTAAAGTATTCCCTCATTTTATTTCCGTTTCTCCAATGATTCTTCTTGAATTGACAAGAGTAGGAAATATGGGCTACTGGATTCCAACCCAGTGGCTCGACCCCTAGTGTACTCTTAGGTGCGCACTTCTGAGGAGTCCTATACTAAGATGAAAGAACTGTCCAGTGCTAACAGGTTTCCAATGGTTTTCCAATTGGTATCAGTTCATGATGAATACCAATGTGAGATTTTTAATGCCATGAAATTTTCATCTGGGAAAAACTGTAATTGATTATCTCAGCAATTTCGGGGTGGGGTGTTTTGACGTCACTCAGTAGTTGGTAGATTACAAGTATCTGTCTAGACTGTCTCACCCAGTTACAACTAGACTGCAGTGTTGACTCTCATACAATATTAATATGTACTGGGTGGTGACTGCACATTTGGACCGCATCCGGATCCGAACCAGCGACCACCGCGTTTCCGGCCCGGTGCTCTACCATGTGAACTATGAGATCCGGCTGCTGACCAGACATCTCTATTTCACTTCAATCACTAAGGGTTCCACCCGACTACCATGTGAATTTATGATGTGTTACTATCACTTCATCCTATTCATATGGGCTGTCCATTCAGAACTTCTCATCCCTATCCAAATGTTACCGAATTCGAGAGGGGGAGCATCATGTTGATTATCATTTCCGACTATGTGAGATAGCTGGGGTTTGACAAATTTGTATTAATACTGGGTGGTCTCTGGTTCGAATCCATCCCCTGTCTAAATTTTCATTTCACCCAATATAAATAGTAGTCTGCCAAACTACGGTTATCTCACACAGTCAAAAGGATAATATCAATATGTGTGACTATTCACCTCAATACTAAGCTAGAAATCTAATTTTACATAATTTTCATTTTTGGTATCAAAAAAAAGTTATCTTGGTTGTTGCATTTATGAATTACAACACAATAGTCTTGACTCCTTGTTATGAGAAAAGGAAATCTCAAAGGTAGGGGGTAGGATCAATTTTTATCCTCAATGTTTAACATTACTATTACTAACGTTAATAAATAAATAAATAAAATTTGTCTAAATAGATATGTTTGTCTATGACCTTAGCCTTCTACATTTTCCTTCGTTGCACACTGAATTTCAGCCTAGGTCACTCTTCATTTTTGCCATTTTATTTTTTGATTTCTTTTAATAATAGATTTTCTAACCCTTTACTGAAACTTGGTACATGTGTGTGTGTGTTAATGCAATCGTCTATATCTACAATAAATCTTTGTTTGACGTATATACTTCAAATAACAAGTTACCATCATCAACTAGTTAGTTAGTTAGTCGGTCAATGAAGCATTTAGTATATAGCGATCGATAATTTCAATACTTGACTGATTACTTTTTTGTTGAGATTAGTCATCAACTCAATTTAAGCATAGTAAATGTCTGTAAGTACATTATATATATATATATATATATATATATATATATATATATATATATATATATATATATATATAATTATATTTTTATTAGTTCAAGTGTAACTCTAGTCTAATACCGTGCTCAACTAACTCACGTTCAATAATCGTTTACTTTCGAACGTGTAATTGATGACGTTTTGTTTTTATGTAACAATAGTAAACTGTTCTCCATGTATATTCAACAGTAAGGATATCGTCTTTTGATTGTGTTGCCTGCGTATTATAGATGTCATTTTGACTGAGATGGCCGTGGCTTGATAAACTTATATTACTTGAAAGTGAAATGAAAATCTGCACCGCGACAGGATTCGAACCAGTGGCCTTCAGGTTATCGGCATGTTGGTTATGAGACTCAGCTACTCACTCATGTGAATTCATCATTTATTATTTGTCCCTTGGGTTCCTAATGGAATATAGGGTTTCAGTAGCACGTCTCCAGTGAACTCTGTTCTCTGAAATCTTTTGAACATGGCTCCACGACAGCCCACAACCTCTCATTTCCTCCTCTCACGATCTCCTCCATGTCACCCTCGGACGTCCAACTCGTCGCTTCCCATCATCTGCTTTCGCAAATTCCTACCACTTCAATGCGATACCTCCTCATCTCGTTTGCAATTTGGACTGCCTTGCTGGGTTCAAACATCGTGCGGGCATTCCATGTCCCCACGTTTACTTTCTCTTTCATCGAGGGAGAGAAGACACATCGGCCAATTGGCTTCCCGAAGGCAGGCTTTCACCAAGTGGCGTCATTTCGCCTC